GCTGACCCGAGGTCAGCGACTTAAGCTGACCTCACCAGAACAAACAGTATACCATTCGACGCGCCGGAGCTAGGCAAACACAAAGATGCTAAAATCGCGGCTCTGCGACCATTTGTTGCGAAGTTATCTATCAAAAACCGGACCCGTAATTTGGGTCACTTGAAATGACCTCAGGGGTCACCAATGAACCCGAGACCTTAAAATGGTATCATTCGATGCATCTTGTAACGGCGCACATGCTCGTTTTTTCCGCAAGGTTCTAGCTCCATTAGAGGCGAAACGGCGAGCTGGGGTCGTACCGAACCCCCGGAAACCCATTTTGTACATTTAAATGAGGAACTTATAGAAAGAACACCTTTCTAATTTTTTGGATGTCGATTTTAAAGGACCTGAGGTTTATTTTGAAGAAATAAAAATGGCAAAAATTTTGGTCCCAAGGGCCATTATAGACAATTTAAAAAATATTACGATTTTTTTCAATATGTAAAGCTTTTCTTTCCAATTTTAAAAATACTGTATTAATCTTTGATTCATCGTTAGTTCAAAGCTGTTTACCGTTTGTTGCTTGCTTAGCTCGTTTTTGAGTTATAGCTCATCAAACTCACCCTTACAATCTGAAGTTTAGAAAATTATGCAATGTAACTCAAAAAGTTTTCATCTGAGAAGCCTGATATTTTGGCAGGTGTTTTTGGAGCCTATGATTACCCCTTGTACCAATTTTCATTCAAATCTGAGAGATGAGGGTGACGGGCCTGGTACGATCTATCGTGGAATGCCCCAGTAGGTACTGCATGTAGAATAGCAGAAGCAGCTGCTCTTTTTTAAACAAACAGCGTCAAACTGATGGACGTAACATAGAGCCCCAGTGAGGAACTTGGTGTTATTGACTTACCTGTTTTCCTTATGTTATTTTTCTTTCACTGCCCACCTAGCATTTTCTTCAGGCGCCAAAAGTTTGAAGGACTGAAGTTGACACTCGTAAGCGACATAGGCAACTATTGTTATTGCACCAAAAATGGAAAACCCGCATACCGCATTGCCACAGGTAGACCACTGCACCAAATAACCTTTTCCTGCGTCACCTCATCGTTCACGGTCATGGTGCTGTCGTCGTCGGGCGCCGGTCGGTAATGGGTGCTTTATTACGTGCCACTAACGATAGTCCTGTCAAGGGTCAAAGGTCAGCTGACGGTGATCGGTGACCCGTGACCCCACCGGCCCCGTGAGGTAGGGCGTATAGGATAGTGGACCACCTCGCCGTTCAAGTTGATCAGAGGTAGCTTGAGAGACTTATCTCACTGCGCAGCCTTGTCATCTGTATCCATAACATGACGCATTATGAACTTACCTGGGCCCAGTTTCACCAAGTGGGGTAAACTCAATTTCCAGGGCCCCGTTTCACCAAGTGGGTGAAAACCAGGGCCCAGTTTCACCAAGGCCCAGTTTCACCAAGTGGGTGGATAGTGCTTAGAGGGTGGTTTGTGGGGCCGTGATACGTAGATCAGGTAACGTGTGGGCTCTGTCAGCCATTGACACAGTGCGAAACCGATATACTCGTAAGCATACTCTAGTCCTCAAACATGCACTTGTAAAATCACCCCAACCGTGTTGGTTGCTACTAAAGAGACATATGGTTTTACATCGGTCCCGTCTTGTTTGTCTACGTAGTGTGGACTGGTCCTGGCCACGGGCAAGGCAGTTGTCTCTCGTTTATGTCGGTTTCGCTTGAGTGGACGACTCTGCCGTCCTTTAAAACGTTCCGCCGCGCTGGCTGACTGTATGTGATTGGTATCACGACGTCTCCGCTGTATTACGATCGAGATACCGTATCGCTGCCCTCGGCGCTCTGTCGCGAGACTGTGGCCTGAATCACAGTGATGCGATGGGTCTGGTCGGTGACGCGGAGACACAGATAGGGCGAGTGTCGGGGAACTGGCTGTGTGGGCTGTGTGCTCTGGTATCTGAGCTGTACGGAGCGCACTGTGGTATTTGTGTAGGATTATCAGCGCACCTTTTAAAGAGCGATACGTTATCTCGAATTTCGTTGAATGATGGTGATGACGATTAAAGATTCAGTCTATCCTTAATCGTATATTCAGTCGAGGGAAATGATTAATTCGTGTTCTATTCAATTCAGTTCATAATGATGCGCTCACACATCATTGATGCTATTTTACTGGATTTGTTGACACTGCAGTAGTGTGAACAAGTCCAGTGTTTCTGATAAGGAGCGGATGTAAATCGACTTTGAGCCTTCTCAAAGGTATTTGAGCGAAATTTTGCGGCGTGTACTTTTTGAGTGACCCATTTTCTTCCGATCTGAAGCTCTTGCTCAATGCTCACGCCTATATTTGGCACTTCCTTATCCGGGACTGTACTAACGACCTTGACATTGACTGTATTTACCCCTGACCTTGACCGTTGCCGTGCCAACGTCTTTCGACTAGACCCTAACCAAGCCAACGGACCTACCGTGACTGTACTAACCCTAACCGTGACCGTGACCGCTCATGCGGTCATCCTAATCGGCAGTCACCACACCTCGCGTGACGGCGTGTCGCGTGACGGTGCATCGCGTGACGGCGCAGGCATCCGTGACGATTTCAGTGCGTCATTCTCGTTACCTTCCACGTGACTCATTTGTGATCTGCCACTACGCAGCGGCACGTGTGACGCTTGCAAACCAGTGTTCGTCTCTGGCGATGACGTGACACTATTGTTTATCCTGCGACACTATTGCTTTTGGCCTGTAACGCTACCCCGTAATGCTCCTCTGTGACAGATCACCATAACACTTCCCCAGACGCACGCTTCCCCTGACGCTTCTGACACCGTTTCCTAACGCTTTCCAGTACACCAACTTACTTACTTATGACGCTGACGTTGCCTATGAACAATCAATGTCCTCTTCTCCATTGTGATGTTCTTGTAACGCCGTTCGTAACGCTCTTCATTACGTTATTTGTATCACCTCCCTCAGCGACCCCCGCCCCGCCTTCACCAGCCTTGACTCTGTGTCATCTTCTTCCACAGGGACGACCCGTCCATCTACATCACCAAGCTGATCCCGGGCGGCCCTGCCGCCTCCGACGGACGTCTTCGCGTTGGAGACATCATCGCCCGCGTCAACGGCGTCAGCGTGGTTAATGTCACCCATGAGCAGGCGGTGGACGCGCTGAAACGGGCCGGCACCAACGTCCACCTGGTGAGAAACTAGTGTGTACTTGGTGAGAAATTAATGTCCACCTGTTGAGAACCTAATGTGTACTTGGTGAGAAATTTATGTGTACCTGGTGTGAAACTAATTTGTTCTTGGTTAGACACAGAGGGATGAGGATGAGTGTCTGTGAGGGAGTAGGAGGGTGAGAGTACGGGACTGGGTATCGACGTCCACTTAGTAGGAGCAACATGGGATCAACGCCTCGGAGTGCCGGGATAGGAGGGCGGAGGATTATAGGGATCGGGTGGTATGCGGATGGGCGGCACGGGTATGAATTGAAGGCAATGTCATCACAGCAGTGATCACTGGTTGGGTTTGGAGGGATTCTGTAGCCGGTGTTCCGGTCTAAATCATGACACTTGAGCGTAAAGAGGATAAAAAGCACTAAAGCTTTGAATATGGAGGACAGGACGGCTGTTCTCTGGAATGCAAGATTAAATGTGAGATTAAATGCTGGATTGTGAGCGTGGTAAAGTCGTGCTGGAATCCAGTTCAGGTATGAGGTCGGAATGCGGCATCCCGCGAAGCCGTGACTTTGGTCGCGAGAAGTGTGCCATGGAAGTTTGGACCTTGATCTTTGGTAGGCAGGGAAGGTCGGCGGGATATTAGGCATCTCAAATGTGGCACGCAGCTACTAAGGGCTAGCAAAGCAAAAGGGTCGTTACCTGCTGGAATTAGCTAATTAGTTATTTGCTTCAGTTTGGTGTAACTCGCTAGAGCTGTAGCCTTAGTGCATGATCGCTGTTTGGTGGATAACTCAGCTTTGGTTACTTCTCCAAGGAAACGCAAGTTCACGTGCATGTTTCTTGAAAGTACAAATCGCTTTCTTGAAAAACCGAGCCGGCATACAGTCACGTCTATCATTGTCATGTCTCTTACCAGGCCAGTAGGTTCACTTTTCCCCAACCTCTCGATAAGTCTGCGGGTCTCCTCACCCGCCGCCCAGTCACGGCGGCCGGTGACCTCGCCACACGTCCGACTCCCCTGGCACACCGTCCGTGAGCTCTGAGCCATCGCCGCCGACTACAGAGGGCCGACGGGTCACGTGCGCGGCCCCCAGACACTGGTACCGCTGTGCTGGGGAGGGGAGGGGGGTGGCTTTACATAGTGGGCGGCATGGTAACCAACCTGTCCACCGGTCTGTAATTCAAGAATCCAAGGTATATCGTAGAGGTCAGCGGTGGTTCGTATTCATGCACAATTGAGAGTGGAAGGATTGAGCAGAGTGTATCTGCATCATGCACTATGCAATATATAGTGGCGTCGTATCCTGTCTAGGGATTTAACTCATGTGGGGCAGCAGCGCTACAAGGCCATCGGGACTGTATCAGGCTGCTACGATGCTACACGTTTTGTGTGTACCTCTTAATCTGTTTCATGTGGTGAAGGTCATGGCTCCGCTGCAGTATCAGCTATGACCCGGGTGGTGGCGTAGCAGTCTAGCACACCAGCATCGTTGATGTTATCGGAACTGTTCTCGTTATTGCTCTGTATGACTTATCAACTCTACCTGCTGTCAGCTCGCTGTCATTCTCCCCCCCCCCGCCCCCATTTACCCATCATATACGAACCTAAACCACCAAAGCTCTCTTTTACATCGTCCCTCTCCTGTGAAGCTCACTGACTCCTTTGATCAGTTCACTGTGGGTGCGCCAACCCTGCACTCCCACCCTACCTGCTTCTATTCTATCCAGTGACGTCGACAATCTTCTCCTCCAGAAACAGCGCTGCAATCCCTCTGTTAACTGGCCCTTCCTGCTCTGCAGTCTGTGAAGCGTCGCCGCCAGCCCCGCACGGAGCGGGTGGTACAACTGGAGCTGCACAAGGGCAGCAGAGGACTGGGCTTCAGCATCGCAGGAGGCAGCGGAAATCAACACATACCTGGGGACAATGGTGAAGACAAGGGACTGGAGGCAGAGACAAGGGGAATGTGGGGCTCAGCAGCGCTGGAGGGAGCGGAGGCCAGCACATACCATTGATTAATGATGGGGAGACAGGAGACCGGGAGACAGTATTGGAGGCAAGCCGTCGGGGACGTGGGCGGAAATATGCTTTTGCATCTCAATGTTTGTCTCCCATTCAGAGACATGCAGTGTGTGCAATGTGTACGAACACTGTGTGTCGAGTGTGTATGATGCTGCACAGGGCACAGGACTAACATCTGACCGGCACCCGTTCCCCAGGTATCTACGTGACCAAGATCATGGAGGGTGGCGCGGCACACCAGGACGGCACCATGTCCATTGGAGACCGGCTGATCGCTGTGGATGCAGGGGTAAGTCGGAGAGTCAAACTGTAAGGGGAACAGTGGGGAGATAGCATTGAGATGTAAAAGCAAGAGTTTAAAACCTCTTGGACGGCACCATGTCCATCGGCAACCGGCTGATCGCCGTGGATGTAGCGGTGAGACGGAGAAGTGGGGTGGACGGGGAATGTTGTTTATGGGAATTGAAGTATCAGCTCTTGGATAGCAGTCCCAATTAGTCCAGTGGAGACCTGCTGAGCGCAGCTTTGGGCATTCATTTTTTTGTGCTACAGAGTTAGTTTGCCGTAAGCGCAGCTGTCTTTAGGCTCGTGCTCTTTCGTCTCTCATTTGTAAATGCCTACTTCTCGCCGTGCCTTGTCGGCATTTCGTTTTCTAGCGATACTAACCGCGTTCTCTTCTGTTTCAGCGGGGCGAGCGGGCCCTGACCAACGTCACACACGAGGAGGCCGTAGCGGCGCTGAAGTCCGTCACCGACCGCGTGGTGCTCACCCTGGTCAAACACGACGGCCCGCTGCCCTCGGCCGCCCCCGCCCCCGCCCCCGCCCCGCCCCCGCCCCGATCCCGGCGGCGTACAGTGCGCCGCCGCCGCCACAGCCGCCGACGGGTAACACCAACAGCGCGGCACACGTCAGTAACAACGGACACAGCGGCACGGGCAACAACGGCTCCGGCGGCCGATACGATATGCTGGACGGACGGACACCGCCGCCGCGTGAGTAAGGGGTGGGGACTGTTGGGGGGGGCTAGGGGGGGTTACAGAAGGAGACAGTGAGGATGAATAAGCTGTGTTCGTGTAGGATATGGGGGCAGTAGAACGAAGGGGAAGTAAGAACGTGATGTAAGGCGTCGTCAAATGAGGGAATATGAAATAAAGTCCACTAGGTTGAGGTGAAAGTAAGGTAGGTACTAGGTAGTTTTAAGTTTAATTGTGGGAACTTACTTAAGCGGGGTGATGAGGCGGTGAAATGTCAGGGGTGGGCTGAGAATGCGAGGTGTGATGAATGGCGCGGCGAGCGTTACCAACTTAACTGTGCGCTGCATCCGAGTTTGGAAGCTGGTTAATGTGCCCGTTGTTGATTTTACCCTATAACAACTACCGTAAAGTGGGGCTATTTGAGACAGTGGGGCTATTTGAGACAGTATTTAAAATCGCTATAAAATGAAGATCGTTTGATTTTTGTGTGATATTTTTGCTCAGGGAGGTGTGGAATCGAGCAGTAAATCGCCTGAGCAAAAAATCCAGCATAAATTTTAAGTGGTTTTTATTTATAGCAATTTTAAATACTGTCTCAAATAGCCCCACTGTCTCAAATAGCCCCACCTTACGGTACCTCGTCTGTTTTTTCAGCTCCTCTGGACACTTCGTCTGCCTACAACGAACCCTACAACATATCCACACCGAAAGCGGTCAGCATGGAGAACGTGGCCAGGTGGGTCCCTGCTGCTACCTGTCGGCAATAACACACACTGATAGTTTGTGAAGAGGTTCATAGATGGCGCGCTGCGCGGAACAGACTTACTGAGACCGACTTGCGCTCGGGTAGGCTCGCCGACTGATGGATAGCTGTTGTCATCAGGCCTTAAAAGATGAAGGGTTTATTCCTCCGTTTCGTCGTTTCTACCCTCAGGACAGTCACATCCTTCTCCTCCACGCCTCCACCCCTTGTTCTTGGCGGGACGGTCACCTTTATCCCATTCAGGGTGCCCCCGTAAGGAGCAGGCCCGTACCCGGGTGCAGTGACCGTTCGTGGGGCTGGGTAGCCTGTCTAAGTGACGGGCTCAGCCCCGACGAGTCGCCATGGTGCCCGCTCAGACCAACCCCCCCCCCCCTCTCTTATTCCTACAATCCTTCCGGCTCTGAAATGGTCTCGTCAGACCGAAAGAGTTTGGTCCAACAAAGAAAAACAAACAAGGTTTAGAACGTTTTCATCAGGAAACATATATGCATCGTGTCATTACAGCGTGTATATCGCTGGAAAACATGAATGTCATCGATGACAATTAGGGGCATCTTCAAGACTTACGATATTCTTCACGCCGTCGTTCTGCTCCACGCACGTTTAAAGGTTCTAAGGAGCCGCAGCTGTTCGCCCATCCCATCCGTGCACGAATCAACGTGGTCGGATTGATATCAGTCATTGGTAGTTATGCTATGATCTGGCTATAATGATAAAGGAGGTTGTTATGTTTTCGATAGTTCTTATCTCCATTGGAATGCAGAACGAGTTTGTGCGGACATGTTATCCTTGTTTGTCGAGCTACTGCCCCTACCACATTCTAGCAACGTGGAGTCCACTCTAGGAAAACAAGTGCAGGTTATAAATGATAGGAACTCGCTAGAATATTATCAAACTTTCAAGGTATTTTAGCATGATATTGCGATCGTTCTTTTTCTTGAGTTATGTGTTGCATTTGGTCAGGCATATGACATTCGGTTGTCAGTCATGTTTCCATTCGATTGGGCTATTTCATAGTTCACACTCAGAAGCTTGACGTTTCTGTTTATTTATTTTTTACGGAGCACTGAGGCTTCTGTTCCTTTTTGCGCGCCATTGGTCGATAGTCGGTTTATTTCTGGTGTGGCTTTTGCAGTCTGTGGTTTAATACTATCCAACGCCTGATCTACCGTAGCAAACTGAATTACTCAGTCATGTGATCACTAATCATTGAACGATACCAGTATCGATCTATGGTATCAATCCCGATAGCAATGGTATTTAGGTCCCGTGAGGTTGTAAGCCTGCTCTATCGGCAGCCAGTTATATCACAAACAGCATGCATTATGGATGGAGCACCTGACGACTGTTGTTGCTATTCGATAACGTCAAATATCCGCGCACTACGGCGAGCCTGGCCGGCTTGTCTCCCGACAAAGCCGCCTGACTGTGATTTATCCCTAATCGTGATTTATTGGTCCGTGGCACCGGGGTTCATCCACTTCCCCTGGATGAACGTGATATATTTCGGTGGCTGAGCTCAGACGCTGAACTGGATGGACGACTTTGATTACGATTTAAACCATTCCGTCGTTCGGGCTCGTTGGGAGAGTTTTGCCCACTTCGGAGCGCTCCCTCTGCCCATGGGTAATTGAATGGGACAGGCTGTGAGGTCGGTACGTACCCGGTCTTAGCCGGGTCAGCTCCGAATGACGTCATTGGCCCAACATGGCGGTCAAGGCCGGTGGCCGCGACAAGATGGTCTTGGTATGTTATGTTGTTTTAGTGGCGTATGAATGGGCATTCAGATAGGACATACAGCTTTGAAATGTATCCGTAATTTCTTTGCATCGCTACGCTTGTGGCATTCTGCTAATATAATGAGCAAGACAATGTGTAAAAGCAAGACAATGTGTAAATGCTTCGATTCTCGCATCGTAGGTTCATTCATCGATTCATTGATTCATTGATTCATTGATTGATTGATTCATTCATTCATTCATTCATCCATGCATGCATGCATGATTTCATTGGCCGGTTATTTGCAATCACACTCGCTCTCATGCCTGCCTCATTGATGCATGGCATTCTCAATTTAAATTATCCTCCTCGGTTCAGGTGACGTCGTAAGTACAATCTGCCACATAACGGCCGCTTGCCATGCTCTCGGAATTGGTTTGATATCTACTACTCCCACCGCATCTGACACTGCCTTCTATACAGCGTCATATGGTCTCTCCTAGCCGTACCAAATTGTCGCGACAGGCGAATGACACGCTACCTCGAGCGGCGGTGGCGGGCGTTTCGATGACCTGGTTCGCGCAGTCATGTGTGTTTTTGGACCAGCGCCGGCGCCGCGGGCGGTTGGCCACCGACGCGGTGGTGTATGGTGGTGGGATATGGTGGCTTATCGATGGACAGATGGACGGAGGGACAGGATGTGAGGTGGACAGTGGATACTGGACACTTGATGGGCCGGATCAGCCTCGAAAGCCAGTGACAGTGTCTTCGTTGAAATGCTTCACGTAACTTCCAGCTAGCTAAGTTGTGTAGCGTAACTAGCTGAGTTATCGAATTATCGGATATACCCTAGCAGAGTTGCATATTGCAAGCGGATTGCAATGCCAAACACAACAGCAAATGTTTTAATAAATACTTGCATATAAATGATGATCACTCTCCAATCGTCTCACTTTGCCTCCCTCGCCGGGTAAAGCATTTTGACATTACATCGAGCCATATTGCCAGATTTACAGGGTCACCAGTGACACGTTCACCCAAGCCTCAGACAATCCATTTACTGGGCGACTGAGCTCTAACTGAGCGATGTACTGAAGTCGCTCAGTGTCCGCGAGCTAGAATGGCGCAGAGATGACGGTGGTCTATACGGATTGGTTATTTGTCCACGCGAAAATCGATGTGTGCTGGTGGGTTGACGGAACTTGCAACATACGCGCAGTCTGTTTTTGGTCGCTCGAGGCTTACCGGTTTCGACGCAGAAGATACATTGATTCGACAAGTGCGTGGTCTGGAAGCGGATGCGGTTCAATGCGTGGATCGCGTGTGACATACCGATTGCACAATGCACACACGCGATCTACACCAATAGATCACCCTATCAACTTCCACGTCGTCATCACACAACTTCTGCGTGTTGTACGCTTTGGTCGCAGTGTTTGTTTCAGAGCTAGAGCTCTAGGGAGCGGACTAGCACCGCCTTTGGGGCCACCCCGGTACTCCTGAGAGCACGTTTTCGCGACCTCCGGATGGGCTGGGGTGGGTGGATTGACAGATAAAAGCTGAGGGTCCGGAAGCCTTTCACAGCGCATTGCCTGCGCCTTCTCTCAGTTGACTATTATGTATATTGAGTACCATATTGGTCTGACTGTGGAGCCTATCGTAGTATGACAGTAGGTTTTACTGGAGCCTCTCACTTTGTGTTTACCTACTATGCATAGCTATGCATAACATTACTTTGCTAAGCTCTGGCAGCATCACTGAAGGTTTTGCTGGAGCATCTCATAGTGAGCTAATCGTGAAGTCTCGCACCTCACGGATGACGGATGACAGATGACGGGTGTTGAGGCGTAAGACAGGATGGTGGGACGACTGGTCGGTGACAAATAACCCCGTGGGGCGGACTCCGCGTCTCCCGCGCCACTTCCGGTCACCAGTGGCACGGCGAGACGTTATCGTTGGCAGCATGATGCGGTGTGACGCCGCTTCTGTGACGTTATCGTGACGAAACGTGCCTCGCCACGGGGCTGTCCCCGGTGCAGTCAGATGCAGCGTTTGCCAATCTGTCCAGCGGCTCTGTCAGTCAGCCAGACTGACTCTCTAGACGTACTGCTCAGTGGGTTCTCCCCTGTGGCTGGTTCAGTCGGTCTGGACGTGGCTGGTGACTACTGAATATCGCTGGGGCTCTAGTTCCGGCGTCCACTGCATGATGTGATGACAATCCCTATGAGTAGCACCTCTCCTGGCGAGTTGATGTTGCTAGTTCTGGCCTGGGTCAGCGCTGACAGTGTCAGACACAGACACGGAGTAGGATGTTGAGAGCTGTCATCCTGACTGCAGTGCTGCTCACTATCGTCGGCCTGACACCCTGTCTGCTCGACCAGTCACTCTGCTGATGGTTTGACAGTCAACCAATATTTCGGTGGGGATCAATGTGTTAGATTATCCCCATCCAACCAAACGGAGTTTTCGAACACACTTGGCCTCATGTTGCTCGTTTTCCATTTCAGTAACCGTCGATTTACACCAGTCGACAGAATAATAAAAGGTCACATGGCCTGAGGCCGGATTATGCGGTAATAGATGGTCATATTCAGTGGGGTATTTGTTATACCCGTTATGCTGTGTCGGCTGTCAGCGCCACTGACATGCGTGACGTCATCGGTGGTAAAGTCTGAGTCCGGGTCACATCGACTGCCTCCCATTGGGATCCATTGCCACGTGGTTTTCAACGCCCGCTGGTCTTTGGGGAGTCACTGGGCATAGTTTGAGTCAACATGGAGTCATGGACCGGCTAAAACAGGAGTGTCTCATGGATCTTATTCCGTACAAGATCGGGTATCTGTTTCGGTGTCTGTTTGATCGAAATAGCAATGTTTTAATATAATGCGCGAATGCCAACATTGCGTCGAACCTACCGTTTCACTAGTATCAGCCCTAGTCATCAGTCCCAGCTCCAGTCGTAGTTACAGTCATCAGTCCCAGTTCCAGTTCGTGCAGTCCAGACCCCGTTCAATTTCCATTCCAGTCCCGCGGTCAGTTTCAATGTGCTTGTATGGAGCTCCCAGAAACTTGTTGCAGCGTTTGTCTTTCATCTAAAGGTCGTATTGCACTTTCCAAGAGGCGATCTATTTAGCTCGTGGTGCTGTGCCTCATCACCGACATCCGTGTTCTACATTTTCTACATTTAGCCAGCTCTACCGATCTGAGGTAAAGCGCTAATTTACTTTGTCATCGAACGCTTGGCAGACAGACGT